TATAATCATATACAATGTTATGGTTTTGCAGCGCATACATTGCAGTTATTCTTTCACGATTTTGAACGATTGAACGCCTTCAATGACCATATTTCAATAATTAAAAAAATTGTTAAATTTTTCAAGAATAAACACATACCAGCTGCAGTATTTTCCCGTAATAAGAATCTTCATGGCATACCATCTACATTAAGTACAATTAGCCAAACAAGATGGGCATCGTCAATAAAATGTATGGAACAAATTCAAATATGCAAGAAAGCTCTAAAAGCATCAGTTGTTGAAGAAGCTGTTTGTGATATTTGTCCCATAGAAATTACCAATAATATATTAAACGAAGAATTTTGGACGCCTTTAGCTACCTCATTGTTGAAAGTGCAAGGGGATAAATGTACTTTGGCCCAAGTAAAAAACGAGATGCTTAATTTGGAAAAACACATAATACAATCATGCCATGATTCTATATTTTCTCCATCTCAAGAAAAAGAAAATTAAGGTTATGTTTGAAAAGAGAAAAACTGATTTAAATACATGTGCTCACAATGCTGCTTATTTATTGGACCCCCAATATCAAGGGGAGCATCTTACTAATACTGAATTTGATGAAGCATGTAATATAATACAAGAATTGGGTATTTTACAAGGTGGTGATAATCAAAATATTTTGAGTAATATAGTAAATTTCAGAAGCAAAAGCGGTATATTTAATAGCCATAATATGTGGAAAGTTGTAACTTCCATAAGAAACAATCAAATTTCGGCCTCAAGTTGGTGGAATGCATTTTGCCCACCTTGCCCATTAAGAGAAGTCGCTAATATTTTACTAACATTTCCTAGTTCGACTTCTTCTTCTGAAAGAAATTGGTCGGTTTAGGGCAATATTCACACGAAAAACAAAAATAGATTAAAGGCTTCTACAGCAGGAAAATTAGTAAGAGTGTATCATAATTTAAGATTGATTAAAAATATTAAAGAAAATAATGATTTGAATATGAATCGGAACAAGACTCTGCCACGGAGGGTGAAACATTGACTATAGAATGAATTAAAAAATATTATGATATTTATTATTATACATAGATTTATTATAATATTATATAAATGCAAAATAAAGTTAATATTGGTGTAAAAAACATTTATTTGAATTTGACCATATTTGACCATATTTGACCGGTCAAATATCGGTCAATTGACCGAATTGTATTTGACCGGTCAAATGCACAACCCTGATAAAAACTAAACGTCTTCATCCTAGAATAATACTCAAGGATGTGATGAAGAGATCTTTTTCTAAAAATTTAAAGCTCAAAAAATTATTTTTTACTAAAAACAATCTTATGAATAATTATTATTTCAAAATACTTTTTAAATTAAAAAATAAGGACATAAAGTTTAAATTTCCGAAGAGAGAGATGGATGTACAGACATACATATCATCTCTTATGAAAAATATACATAATATAATATTGATTTTTTTTAAAAAAATAAAATAAAACGCGACCAATTATTTATTTCATTCCAAATATTCAATATATTGAGAAACGTAAAACGCTATTATCTAAAACGCAAAATATATAATATAATATAAAATAAAAATAAAACGCCACCAATTATTTATTTTATTTCTATTCAATATATGATAAATTTATTCTGATTCAATTATTCTTAATCAAATTCGTTAAATTAATTCTATTTCGTTTACTCGATGAATCTTATTCTATAATGACGTTATTCAATAATATCTACATTCTAAAATCTTTTAAAATCTTCATATACATATATTTAATAACAAATAATGATAATAACAATTTTAAAAAAAATTGATAATAATAACCATTGAGATATGAAGCTTACGATTTAAACAAGCCAACGATTGAGACGACATATGCAACAACTTGACAATCAAAATGATGAATCATTTGTATGACAAGCCTGCTATGACAGCTCAGATGGATTGTGGGAATGCTTTTCAGAAGAAGGGGAATGTTTGATTTTTTATTTAACTTAAATTGTTATTATAGCCTTAAAATATATATTTCGTTTAAATTGTTTTTTTTATAATACATATATATATACTTATTTTATATTTATTTTTAGTATCATTTTTTAGTTTTAGAATAATATAATTATAACTTAAAACCGTTTTTCTTACCATCTTTATTGTTATATAACATAAAGATCTCACTTGAGGAAGAGGATATACTTCAAACGGATATCCTACTTTGGTGGAAACGACAAGAAAGAGATTTGCCAAAGCTACCAAGATTAGCAAGATAAATATTGGCAATTCCTGCAACTAGTGCTTCTTCTGAACCAGGTTTAGCATTGCTGGAAGGTTTTTAGAACATTGAAGAAAGTGTTTGAATCCAGAAAATGTTAATTCAATATTATTTTTGCATTATAATTATATACTAGTAAATAGCCCGCAAAAATGACAGGGAATGAGAATTTTCTTCGTTCTTTTACGGAAGATGTTACCTTTTATTTAAAAACCATAATTTTTATATTTTTTACCTCCCCTTTCATGTCAAGTCCAACCCATTAATACTAAGAGTGAATACTATTTATTGATTGAAAATTATTTGTTATAATTGATTACCTATAGCTAATATTTAATATTATAAAATCCCAAGCCAGGTCCAAGCCCGTTATATTTTTGAAAATTTCTCCAAACACGAGTCAAGACCATAATAATTTTGGTAGTTCAGAACTAAAATAAAATTTTAAAAAAATCGTAATGCATTAATCAGAGATCCTCATGGTCCTTTTTTTGATCAGGCCCAGCCTAGGCCCGGGAAAAATTTCCTTAGTCAATGTCTGACTCATATTATATATTAAAAAATTTTCAAGGGTCCAAGACATTAATAATTTTGAAAAATATTTAATTTAGAAATTTCTCAAACCTGGTTCAAACCATAATAATTTTGAAAATTCCAAGCCAGGCCCATAATAATTTGTAAAAGATTTTCCCAACCCAGGTCCAAGCCGATATTAATTTTGAGTAATATTTTCCAAGCCCAGCCAAACCCATAATAATTTTGAAAATTTTTTCCCAAGACCGGAGATAGTTAAATTTTTAATTGATTTATCATAGCCCGGCCTTAGTCTGGAGTAAGTGCAGCCTGGGAATTATAAATGCCATGAAATCAGATATTCCCATGAATAACAAATGGCGAAGGATCACAAATCAGGAGATATCAGAGTTTAAATAAAAATATAATATGAGTATCGGGTTAAGAATGGATATTAAAAAAATATTATTAATTTATGTTTTGCCAATATAAATGAGTATATTTTCATAGGTTAATTAATTGTACAAATATTTACTATATATAATAAGTATATATGTGAATTAAGATAAATATTGTTTGGAGAACGATCGTAGAGAATATAATTTGTTTTTAAATATTTAAAAAAGCAACGATTTTCCATTTTGAATTGGAATTTTCCCCTTTTTATTGGATCTTTTACTTTTTTGATAGAACCTTTTCCTTTTTGATCAAACTTTTAATGGGAAATTAATGGTGCTTGAAAGAAAGTAGCAATCCAGAATCAGTTGGAATTAAACTTTTTTTAAGAATGATAGGAAGAAAGGGAAAAGAAAAATAGAAAGAAGCAGAAGAAATGAAAGGAATTGGGAAAGGGAAGGAAAAAAGAAAGATAGAAAGGTAAACGGGGTAATGGAAAGTGAAATAAAAAATAGAGAAAAAGGGAAAGTGAAATAAAAAAATAGAAAAAAAGGGAAAGAAATAAAACCTGGAAAGGAACAGTGAGAGGATAAGGTAAATAGAAAGAAAATGAAAAGGCAAGGAAAGAGAAAGAAAAAAAATAAAGGAAAGGAAAAGGTTCTAATGAAAAGAAGGGGGGGGGGGTTGTAGGATTGTTAAAATCTGATTTAGGTCGTTTAACCCAACTATTTTAGCCAAAATAATATGTAAGACTGAAGATTTTGCTAGTAGATGGCAAAAATGTTTGCACCTATATTTTACCAATTCTTGAGGCTTATATAATATTATTTTGCCTAAAATAATAATAGGGTCATTTTTATAAATCGACTCAAATCAGTTTTAAAAACCCTATAAAAATTGAAAAATAAAGAAAAAAGGTAGAAAAGGAACAGGGAAAGGGAAAAGAAAAAAGGAAAGAATAAATACAACTTATTATTATTTTTATTGAAATAAAACATGTTGAGAAGTCAGCTAGTATTAATACCCTTTAGAGAACATATCCAATGTAGTGGATTAATATCCACTGATTGGGAATTTAAACCCGGGGTGGGGGAAAGGTAGGGCACATCCTTGTTGCTAAATCCACCTAACAACACTTTGTCAAAAATGAAAATAGCCACCCTTAATAAAATGAGTATTTAAAATTCCCCTCCTTTTACAATGTTGCTAATGATATTTATGATATATAGCTTTATCATTAATATATAAATATTTATTAGACTATAAAAGTTATTATATTTTGATTTTATAAATTTATAAAAATGCTTTTTTAAAAAATATAAATCTTGAAATTTAAATGATGATTGATCTATTTAAAAATAAAATAAATAAGAAAATTAATTTTGAATATTGTAATATAATTGATATAATGAAAATATTATGTATCATATTACTAATTAGTAGATTGGAAAAGGGGAGTAGGGCAGATCCCTGTTGCTAAATCAGCCAAACAACACATTGGCAAAAATAAAAATAGCCACCCTTAATAAAATGTGTATTTAAAATTCCCCTCCCTTTACAATGTTGTAAATGATATTTATGATATATAGCTTTATCATTCATATATAAATATTTATTAGAGTATAAAAGGTTATTATTATATTTTGATTTTATAAATTTATAAAATGCTTTTTAAAAAAAAATAAATCTTGAAATTTAAATATCTATTTAAAAATAAAACAAATAAGAAAATTAATTTTGAATATTGTATATAATTGATATAATGAAAATATTATGTATTATTGTATATAATTGATATAATGAAAATATTATGTATTATTGTATTTTACATTGGTGAATAATTGTTTTCACTGATAGTAGCTTCTTGATTGAGAGTGATAATATCATCTTCAATAGCTATATAATTGATATATTAAAAATATTGGTATCATATTGTATTTTACATTGAATTGGTGAATAGTTGTTTTCACTGATAGCAGCTTCTTGAGTGAGAGTGGTAATATCATCTTGCATAGCTTTATAATTAATATAATAAAAATATTATGCAAACTTGAAATTTAAATGATGATTGATCTTAAAAATAAAATAAATAAAAAAATTAATTTTGAATTTTGTAATATAATTAATATAATGAAAATATTATTTATCATATTGTATTTTACATTATAGAATAATTGTTTTCACTGATAGCAGCTTCTTCTTGAGTGAGAGTGGTAATATCATCATGAATAGCTTTATAATTGATATAGTAAAAACATTAGTATCATATTGTATTATACATTGAATTGGTGAATAATTGTTTTCACTGATAGCATTTTATTAAGAGAGAGTGGTAATATCATCTTGCATAGCTTTATAATTGATATAAAAAAATATTATGCAAATTTTATAAAGATAAATTAAAATGATTTGTAAAATTTTGTAAAGATAAATTAAAAGAATATATAAGGTTTTACTTTCGCTTCCTACAGTTGCATGGTTAACTGAAATTATAGGCTCATCTGTTAGTATAGATATTGGAAAAAAAATAAAAAAAATAAATACGTAGAGATGACATGACGTAGCGATGACATGATTTAGTGATGACGTAGTGATGACATCGGAAATAATATAGATAATATCAATTTTGTTTTTTTTATTTTTTTCATAAATATTTTATTTGATCAAATAAATTATCCAAAATTTAAATTGAATATTTTTTTATACTTAATATAGTAATTTCCTAAATCATAAAATTTTTGTAGAAGTGTAATGGTGATTTTTTTTTTATAAGATGCTTAAAAATTGAAAGAATGTAATTAAATTTTATAATAGCGGCTTAGATTAAAATTTCTTTTTTAAATAATGGGCGGGCGGGTAAAATTTTTTAGACTAATGGGCTGGTAGGAAAGAAAATTTAGACTAATGGGCAGGCGGGCGGGTATAATTTTTTGAAAATTATGGCGGGCCGGGCGGGCAGTTAAAATTTTTTAAAATATTGGATGGGCGGGCTTATGGTCTAAAAACCCGCCCAATGCAAACCTCTAGTAGTAACATATAACAAAATATATTAAGCATATAGAAGGGCATTTTAAGTTTAGGATAAATTCATTTATCCGAATGTCTTTATTATATCGATCAAAGTTTTTATAAGAAACGATAATACTTTTATTTGTAATTCTTTTGGTATATATACGTTTATATAATTATCCAATTTAACTTCTAATAATATGCAAGATTAACCTCGATAATATAATATTACATGTCGGAATAATATAATATACAAATATAAGGTGACCTTTAAATATATCTTACAATAATAAATATTCAAATGTAACAGTCTTAAATTTAAAAATGGGATACTTGCTCAACTTGCCATCTTTTCTTATCAACTATTAATCCACTAAAAAGTTTTAAATGTATAACTCATTTCTAATGCCAAAAATTTTAAACTCAGCTCAAGTTAAAGAAAAAAGAAAAATATAATATAAAGCAATAACTAGTGTTGTTAAATACAGGTCGGAGTCGAAAAATTGGCTTAAGCTCAAGCCGGCTCAGGAGTTGGCTCAAGCCGGCTCAATGGCTCAAGCCGGCTCAGGAGTTGGCTCGAGTCTAGTTTTGAGCCAACATTTATTAATTTAAATATTTTAAAAGAATATAATAAATATTATTTTTGTTTTAAAATTTTTTTTAAACATAATAATTTATATTATATTATGAAAATGGATTTATTTATTTGATATTTTTTTTAATAAAAAAAAATGCTATGCTGATATTGTAATATTATTTTTGTTAATAATTTATTAGTAATTTTCATGTCATGCCTAAAATTTTAAGCAAAAAGATATTTATTTGTAAGAATTTTAAATTTTCTTTGTAATTGAGGAAATTTTTTGAGAATTTTATTATAAATAAACTATCCTTTAGATGAAATCGTTTATAGTTTTTTTTATATCTTTGTAAAATTATCTATTTTTATGTATATTAAAAGAATTGGTTTTTTCTAAATTATTTTTTAAAAATATTTATTTGCTAACATGTTTAAATAAAACTTCAGTGAAGATGTACCCTAGATAAGTGACAATTGTCATAATCGTTATTCTTGAAGTTTATTGAAATGCGTATAAATATAGGTTGTAAACATGTTAAATTAAAATTTTAGTGAAGATATACTAAAGATAAGTTACAATTGTCATAATCGTTATTATTAAATAATTTTGAATTTTTTTACGCAAATGGGGAAATTAATGCAAATGGGTAAAAATATATATTGTAAATATGTTAAATTAAAATTTCATTAAGATTTACTATAGATAGGTGACAATTGTCATAATCGTTATTTTTTTTAAGTTTTTAAAATTTTTTTGATGTAAATGGGCTAAAATAAGTATTTCTAACATGTTTAAATAAAACTTCAGTGAAGATGCACCCTAGATAGATAAGTGACAATTGTCATAATCGCTATTTTTGAAGTTTATTTAATATTTTTGACGCAAATGGGTATAAATATAGGTTGTAAATATTTTAAATTAAAATTTCATGAAGATGTAGCATATAAAAGTGACAATTGTCATAATTGTCATTTTTAAAGTTTTTGTGAATTTTTTTGACGAATGTGTTAAAATATAGATTGTAAACATATTAAATTAAAATTTCATGAAGATGTACCATGGAAAAGTAACAATTGTCATAATCGTTATTTTAAGCTTTTTGAATTTTTTTAACACAAATGGGCAAAAATATAGATTGCGTACATGTTAAAATAAAAGTTCAGTAAAGATGTATAGATAAGAAGCAATTGTCATAATCGTTATTTTTAAAGTCTTTTGAATTTTTTGACCCAAATGGGTTGAAATATATTGTAAAAATGTCAAATATAAATTACATGAAGATGTAGGAAAGTGACAATTTACAACCTATATTTATACCCATTTGCGACAAAAAAATTCAATTAACTTCAAAAATAACGATTATGACAATTGTTACTTTTCCATGGTACATCTTCATGAAATTTTAATTTAATATGTTTACGATCTATATTTTAACACTTTCGTCAAAAAAATTCACAAAAACTTTAAAAATAACGATTATGACAATTGTCATTTATCTAGGGTACATCTTCACTGAAATTTTATTTAAACATGTTAGCAATATTTATTTTAGCCCATTTACGTCAAAAAAATTAAAAAAACTTTAAAAACAACGATTATGACAATTGTCATTTATCTATAGTACATCTTGATGAAATTTTAATTTAACTTATTTACAATATATATTTTTACCCATTTGCGTTAAAAAAATTCAAAAAACTTTAAAAATAACGATTATGACAATTGTCACTTATCTAGGGTAAATCTTAACTAATATTTTATTTAAACATGTTAGCAATATTTATTTTAGCCCTTTTATATCAAAAAAATTTTTAAAACTTTAAAAATAACGATTATGACAATTCTTACTTTTATATGTTACATCTTAATTAAAATTTTAATTTAACATGTTTAAAAATACATATTTTTATTCATTAGCGTCAAAAAAAATCTAATATTTTTAAAAATACCGATTATAATAATTATCATTTTTCCAATGAACATCTTCATTGAATTTATAATTTATCATCTTTACAATATAAATATTATTTTTACCCTTTTTTGTCAAAAAATTTATAAATTGTTAAAATATCGATTATGATATATGTCACTTTCCTACATCTTCTTGAAATTTAAATTTGACATTTTTACAATATATTTTAACCCATTTGGGTCAAAAAAATTCAAAAAACTTTAAAAATAACGATTATGACAATTGCTACTTATCTATACATCTCACTGAAGTTTTATTTTAACATGTACGCAATCTATATTTTTGCCCATTTGGGCCAAAAAAATTCAAAAAACTTAAGATAACGATTATGACAATTGTCACTTCTCCATGGTGCATCTTCATGAAATTTTAATTTAATATGTTTACAATCTATATATTAACCCATTCGTCAAAAAAATTCACAAAAACTTAACAATTATGACAATTGTCACTTTTATATGTTATATCTTCGTGAAATTTTAATTCAACATGTTTACAATATATATTTTTACCCATTTGCGTTAAAAATACTTTAAAAATAACGATAATGACAATTGATAGTACATCTTCACCGAAATTTTAATTTAACATGTTACAACTTATATTTATACCCATTTCCATCAAAAAAATTCTATAAACTTTAAAAATAACGATTATGACAATTGTCACTTATCTAGGGTACATCTTCACTGAAGTTTTATTTAAACATTTTAGCAAAAATTTTTAAAAACAACCATTAGCATCAAAAAAAATCTAATATGTTTAAAAATATTGATTATAATAATTGCCAATTTTTCAAGGAACATCTTCATTGAATTTATAATTTAACATCTTTACATTGTAAATATTATTTTACTTTTTATGTCAAAAAGTTTCAAAAATGTTAAAAAATAACGAATATGACAATTGTCACATTAAAATATTTTCGTTAAAAAGATCATATAAAATAATATAAAAAAGATATAAATATTTTTAAAAAAATTATTTAGAAAAAACCACATCTTTTAATATACTAAAAAAATAGATAATTTTACAAAGATGCTAAAAAAAACTATAAAAGATTTAGCTAAAAGATTGTTTATTTATAATAAAATTCACAAAAGAATTCCTCAAAAATGATTTATTTACAAAGAAGATTTAAAATTCTTATCAAATCAAAATATGTTCAACAAGTATATAAATATTATAAGGCAAAATCTTTGTTGATACTGAAGATAGAAATAACAATAACAACTTAAACGATTGATAGATTATGGTTAGACCAAAAATACATTAAAAAATTATGGGACGGGCCGGCCCTAAGTATATAAATCACGGACTATGTCTAAATATTTTTAAAAAAATTCTTGCCAGGCCTAATTTTTTTTTTGAAAATAGAATCCTGGACGAAATTTTTCTATTTTAAAAATTCGGGCCATGCAAATTACCTCTGCAGCTATCTGATATTAAGATTAAAAAAAACCACATTTAAAAATTTATAAACAATACTTAATATTAATAAAAACCACCTTTAAAAATGTTAAATAAAAAAATTAATTAATATTTATATCAAATGAAAAAATAAAGAAATAAAATGTTGAGTTACAGGGTTGCATGTGTTTTATTTGGTGATATAATAAAAACAAAAACTATTAAGTGGTATATTTATGTATTAGGAAAAAAATTTAACAATTAATAAAAATTTCTCATAAAACTTTTTAAAAAATAATTTTTTAAATTTAAAATGTTTAATATTAATAATATTTTATCCAATAATACCAATAATAGTTTTAGAAATTCTTCTTTATATAATAATAATTCCTTTTTATCTAATCATTCCTTTTCCACATCATTTTCGCTATCTGCTATAAGTGCCAATTCTACAATAATAAACCCTATAAACTCACCGGCAATTCAAAACCCAAAAAGAAAATATAATTGCTGGAATAAAGAGAAAATTGACATAGTAACCAAATTGTTGTCCCAGCCGGAAATGGAAA